TTGTATGGTTCATATTCTTTAAATAAGACTCTAAATACATTATCTGGAAAACATGCAAGTGGCACTGTACTTCACCATGTCACTTTGCCGTACAGGAAAACATAACTTTCCAGTGGTATAAATTTTATAGGGAGAAGAATAGATATACTTTTCAATCTTTAAAGCTCTTTAAGAATTTCTTCCGTTTTAAAATGTGTTTGTGTCATGTACTCAGCGGTTCTCAACAAACTTGGTTCTCTTCTGTGGGAAAAGTAGAAGCACTCTTGTTCTATTTCTAAACAAGTCATCTGCCCTATATTTTCCTTTTTTCTCCCAGAAGATATTTAGAGGGACAAAACCTTTTACCAAAAGAATGTGTTTATTTTTAGATCATTTTCCAAACATACGCGGTGCTACAGATCAACTGCTGTTTATTGATTTGTTGTGTCAATAATTCCATTAACTGTGCTTCATATAATTCCGAATATGCACTAGTGCCCAAACATATGGTGTGGCACCAACAGCAGGGGACAAGAAGGAATGAGCATGAAGAAACTGAAGTTCAGGCAGCGCCTCCCTCCTGTGCTATTAAGTTACTTAGTTCCAGCACACGGTGTTGAAGGAAACTAGGTGGTGTTTAAACAGTTCTGACAAAACCTAAGACTCACTCCTTTAAAGAATAAGTTCAGCGTAAACTTAAGGGAAGAAAATGATAAGTAAATGGAATCCACCACAAGCTGCATTCTGTTGATTATAAAGGGGTTTTTTACTATGCGTAAGGTACTTTTTCCAGATTAATTAGGAAAAATATACTGGGCTTTCACATATGGCAAGCTTCAGTTTGTATCAGATCTGTCATTGCTTCTGACAGTTACTCCTTTCATCTGCTGTCCAAGAGGCTGAGCTGTTTTAATGGAGGATTGGCTCTTCTGTTTTCCCTGTATCCTAGGTAAATACTCACTGCATTCGTGTCCTCTTCTCAAGTTCAACCCTCTGCCTAAGCAGGCACCAAGTCACTGATAAATTGTTATGAAACCTTGACTGCACAGTCATTTATCAACCTGTTTTCACCAACCATAAAATTTACATACCTGATGGTCTCTCGCAGCTTTCTGTTATGTAATTAAGATTTAGATTGCCTGGTAAACTCTTCCTCTTGGTGCTAGACACTGATTTTTTTTTTAATTATTTTTTTCCAGTTATCAGTGGGACTTCTTAAAATGCATCTGATCCTTGGAATTTATTCCACTTTTCAATTAAAGCCCAAGTATTGTGACATTCATGGCACAGTGTAAAACATGACATGTACTTGATGTTGTTAGTTTCTTCATTTAGTAGAAATGTTATTAAAAAATACATCAACATTGAAAAGTAATGATTTCTTTAGTATATTAACTGGAAATACTTATAACAATTCTCAGGATTAAACTGGCAATCATGGATTTATATTGACTTATGAACTGAATTTAACCACATGGAATCAAATGCAAGATATAGTTGGGCTTTTTTTTTGTTATTCATGTGAAAAATAAATATATATTTTGTTTATAAAAATTTATGTAGTAAATAATAAGCCTGATAAATCACAAACTATTGTAAATGATTCAGGCTAAGTAAAAAAAAGTTAAATTGCTTCATTAAATTATATCATATGTATCCAAGACCAGTCTTTTAACTGACATATATGTACTGTTTTCAAATAGCATTTTTTTGTCTCTGTCACTGGATTAAATGTTACAGAGTCGTAGTTGAAAACTGAAAGTATGGGAAAAGGTACGTTAAGAAAAGGAACCTTCTGAAAGAAGTCTCACAGGCCAACTGTACCCACTTAGGAGAATTCCTTATATGCGTTATATGGAGGGGAGAGTTCTTTCCAATTACTTGGGTAACCTAGTTTGGATTCATTCATAATGTACTGTGTTGTTGCTGCCAGTATGCTTCATCCTGCCCAAGCTGCTCTGTGGCATCCTTCTCTCCTTAACTGTCCCTAGTACTTCCCAGGTGTGAGCAGGCTGCTGAGCTACGTGTGCTTGCACGATGGACTTTTACGTGCTCACTAAATCAGCATTTCTGTGAAGTGTAGACTTATGGCACACACACCAACTGATTTTTCTTTTACCACAGATCTGGTCACACACTGCGTGAGGTGGGTAAAGAGGTTGTAATGCACAACTCTCTTGTGCCAGTAGAAGGTGGGGGGCCCGCCACTGCCAAGAAATTCTATTCAAATTTTATTTTATTTAGGCAGTTTTGTTCAAAAAGTGGTCTGAGAGAGAAAAGGAAATACCAAGGGAGACTATTTGGGACTTGTGTGTCTTCCAGTGACTCATTATTTCCAATTTGTTTATATGTACTATTTTCGTAGGCTGCTCAACTATCATTTGCATGGCCTGGTGTTTCAGACCTCAGTTGTGGACTGTAAGAAAATAGTTGGTGTGTGTTACATCAGGAGAAGAGTCAAGGCCCTGTAGCTAGGGGAGGAGGTTACAATCAACTGGTCCCTTTTTGACATGGGACAGAATGGGGCATGTCCTGTCTATCTCCTGCGAATATCTTGTGGCAGACTCAGTCTGTGAGCCACTGTTGTGGAGTGTAAAGGTGAGAAGGCAGGAACTCCTTGAAGGCTAAGTATGTACTGCAATGTATAATAGAAGAATAGTATTTTGTGTAATAAGGAAACCAGAAGAAGAAAACGCCATTGCTCACCATTTCTGGGCAGCCATCTCTCATATCCATGTGTAACCTTTCAAAAAGATTGAGCATAATTTCCCTTTTCTCATCTTTCTTAATGCAAGATCTTGATTTTTTTTTATTATTTATATTTTTACTCTCTTCAAATTGAGGTCTTGATTGAGACTTCCTTGTATTCATCATGATAGTTTATCAGGTCTTGAGTTATGCACCTGCAGCCTTTTCCACCCCATTCCCAAGGGAAATCAGTTTCACTATTTATTTATTTATCTATTTATTTATTTATTAGGAAAGCATTTAGTAAGAACCTAGCCCAAGCACAGTTTATGTAAGCGGTAGTTAGTTTACTCTCATATGAAGCCTTGACAAGTAGTCTGGTGCTCGTACATTCCTGGCTACTGAGTTACCTTCTCTCTATCAGCACTCTTAATTTATGATCTGAATTGCTGCTGTATTGAAGGGCATCTCGAAAAAAAGAAAGGTTGAATGTAGTTTCCTCAGAGGATAAGTCTATGGGCAGCAGGCAGTTTGCATTGTTTCAGCACTGGGAATATGTGGTTATTCACTAATCTCCTACAAATCACGCTTTTCTTTAAAGAAACCATCCTGTTAAGAAAAAGTGAATTTACCAGTGAACCCATAAGAATTGGTGTAGTGTTTATAATGTGGATGCAATATTATGTTTGAAAATTTTGTAGATCCTCTAATCTATTGTATACATTTTTAATACCCCCCCATCAAGAATATTTCACATTTTTTATTGGGTAAAATTATAAATAACTATGACTTTCTAGTGAAGAGCTTTGTAATTTTAGGCAGTGTGTTTTTCCATTGAAAAGAATATTCTTGTTTGTGCTTTGCCCATTTAAGGAAGACAGTCAAGTTAAATTCTGCCATAATAAACTGCTATGATAATCATATTTGTCAATGCTTGCACTTCACCCTGTCCCTATTTCCCTTCCTTTCCCATCCCTTCCCATTCACCTCTCAGAAACATGTTTGTTTCATTAAAAGCATCTGCTTTGTTCCTTAGGATACATATGATATTACTTGCAATCAAGGACTAGGAACACAAGCACAGAGTGCTGTTAAAACCAACAGTGAAGAAAGGTTGCGAGGGCCAAATAGGAATCCAAGACCAGCTGACTTAGCCCCTTGTCTCTTCTTCCCTCCCCTCCTTTTCATATGCCCTGCCTTGAATTTTTTAGATTTGGATGAGCTGCTTTTCCTTAACTGCTTCTGTGCCTTTGTGTGCCTTACATTTTCTCCTTCTCACCACCTTTCTTTTGTAACAACTTGCTTGTCCGTGCTTTCCCTTAGCAGTTGGAGTCACAGTTTTGATGATGCTCTCATTTCAACTTTACATCTCACGTGCATGTCTTTTTTTCTGTGTGTTGCCATTTTTCCCCTGAAGAACACGATTAAAGGAAGTAAAAGTTAAGTTTACTGTCGTTTGTAACTCAGCAGTTACTAAAAGTGACATCATAGAAAAAAGGACACTTCTCTCTATCTTGCTCTCGTTTCTATGCTTGGTTTCAAAGAGCTGCTCTAAACAATGGTGGCATTGGAGCTCCTTCACAGCAAAGGGTAAAGGTTTCTTGAATAACATGGTATGCAGAAGCTGCTACTACTGCTTCTGTGAAGTTACAATGAAGAGTTATGACTCTTGTCTGGTTTTTTTATATTTTTGGGCAATATTAATTCCAAATAAGCTAGAAAGCAACAGAAATAGAGAAAGCTTAGTTTATACAGACACTGTGCTTCTTTGGAGGACTTGCAGGAGAATTTACTGTTCTCACACTATTGAGTCATCTCTGGGGAAAATGAAAGCATAACTTTGAGCACACTGAACACCTCATCCCGACTTCATCATAGCCATGAGTATGTATGTGTTGTTTATGTATGCATTTGAAATTCAGAACTTTACATTCCTGTTCCTAACAAGAATAAAGGAATGCAGCAAATAGATATAACTTCACTGGTCAAATCTAAATAAATAAGTTTTCTGTCGTTCCTCTAATTTTCTTCTGAGCAAATCTTGTTTGAAATAATGGAGATCATATTTTTCTGAAATACTGGTACTGAATGTTAATAATAAATTGTTTTGTTTGCAATTTTTTGTAAATTGTGTGTTTTCCAATTCTTCTATAAATGATCTTTGGAGGAAGCTTAGCTAAGCACCAGTTATGCTTTGATGCCATAGTATTCAATCACTGGCACAACTTGAGCCTGTGTGTCTTCAGTTTTCAAAGTTAAATTTCTTTTCATTTGCAAAGTCCTGCGCAGCAAACCATTTCAAGTTTTAACTCGTGTTTCATATTTTGTTCTAGGTTGTTGGAAGAGGAGCCTTTGGTGTGGTCTGCAAGGCAAAATGGCGAGCTAAAGATGTAGCCATTAAACAAATAGAAAGTGAATCTGAAAGAAAAGCCTTCATTGTAGAGGTACAGTAAGTTTGATGGAAATACCGGGTTTGGTAGAGCTTGTTTTCTTAAATTCATGGATGCATTTAGTGTACTAAAAGCTATTTAAAGTACTAAAGTCTATTAAAAGATAAATGCAGCCTGTGGTACGCAGTTCAGGCCTGGACCCCTTGTCTTGCAGAACAGGAGACCTGTGAGAGAACATTGCAGCTTCTTTACTTTGCTTCTCATAAAAAACTGGAAGGCAAGGAGGAGAGAGAGAAGGGCACACAATTGGGGAAATGCCAGTTCCTAGATTCTGTCCCAGTCTGGAATCAGGGTGCAACTGAAATACCCACCAAAGTCTTGAAGCTAATTAACACTTCAGGGGCTACAGCATAGGTTCTTCAATACAATCAGGTCCATACTTGAAACTGTTTCTGAGTTTTATCAGCAGTTCTAATAATTTCGTTATTTTTTCTTACATATATTGCTACCTGTAACTCATTTAAAGGCAGTCACTGTTTTCATTCGTGTCTACTTCTTCAGAAATACCTTGAGTAGTTCAGATATAATGATAAACTTCCCAAGATACATAACATTTATTAGAATCAAAAGTTTGCCGTGTAATTTAAATGGGATATATTGTGACATGTTGCTTAATATTTATTCAGTTATCATTTAGTATATTCAAGATATGCAAAATATGTTAAAAATAAATCTCTTAAATTTGGAACTAAATGTACTAAAATGTAACACACTGAAGGGTTGAAAGAAGCATGTTTGTTATAGGCCTCTGTGTAAATATATATATTTTGTTCATTACCATGGTAAGTTTTTAAGGTTATTAATCTGAGTCCAATTTAATACTCAGTAAATCTGATTGATCTCTTAGCATTTTTTGTGTTCTAAAGAGATCTGAGTAGATAATCCTAAAAATGCTTAAATAATTATTGGTATTCTGGAAACCCTACACAGTGCCAGCATCAGTTGTAATATTCTGTTCTGATTTTTTAGGTCTTCTAAAGTGTACAGAAAAAGTATCATTTGTTCCAGAGGCAGTGAACAGCATAAACTACTTCAGAAGTCTGTGTAAAGGGAAAAAAATTTCTTGTTTCCTTCTCTTCTGTTACGTACTGGGAAAAAAAATACTTAGTCCAAAATAGTGTAATTGTCAGTACAAGCAGGACTAGGTTCTTGGAACTATGTCGCTTCAATATTAAACTGTTTGGCTTAATTTCTAGGGTTGTGGGCTTGGGGTTTTTTTGAACAGTAATATTCTATATTGTGAATAAAGCCAAAATGATTCTGATTTTTTTATGTAGTCAGTCAACTGGGATTCCAAAATTGCAGGCTCCTGGAAGAACATCGAACCTACAGAGGTCTCAGTTGCAGAGTGCTTGTGGCTTGAGTGATTTTACTACAACCTATCAAAATATTTTCTTTAAATTTAACTTCTTAAAAATTTCTTTTAAAATACGGTTCAGTTAGACTCAAACCTAATTACATAAATTAAAATGCAAAGAGGGACATCAGTCTTGTAATTTCTAAAATCACTATCTAGAGTTATTCAGACATATAAAACTGTACTTGCTGTTGTGGTGTATTAATTGTGGCTGTGAAAATAAAGCATTAGCCTTTTTTCCCCATGGTTTGAAATTGTGTGATTTGTATTGCAGCTTCGACAGCTGTCACGAGTGAACCATCCCAACATTGTCAAGTTATATGGAGCCTGTCTAAACCCAGTAAGTTATAGCTTTGTCAGTATAACAGCAAGTGACTAGCTTAGCATATGCAAGCATCAATGCACAAAACATGTATTTTATACTAAAAATGTATATTTTATATATATTTTTTATGTTTTGGTCATAATAAGAAAATGTACAGATATGTAGGTTGCTTGATGTTTTCAGGTTTTAGGGTTTTTTCTTTCCACTGCTATGAAAAATAAGTTCTTTCAAGGAAACCCCAAAGCCATTTCTAAGCACAGATTATACTTCAGTTTGTCAGAACGGCATCTGGTGTATTACATATGTAGTTACATTCATATTTACAGTCTTACTAATTGCAAATTAGCAATACAAAAAGCAAATACATTAGCAACACGCAATTGTACCTTGTAAATCAGTTCCTATTCTCATATATGCAATTTTCAGGATTTACCACAGCTGCAAACAGTCCCACAAATTCTCAAAGCAGGAAAGCAAGTACAATGACTGGATTGATATATCCTTAGCTAATTCTTTTATGGGCTATCTAATTGTTTAAAATAATGCTGCATCCCTTTTTTTTTAAGTACTAGTAAAATTATTTTGATGTGGTATTTGATTTTTTTTTTTTTGTAAATTGCTAAAGGAAAAAAGTAAGAACAAGTGAATTGCAGTTTGAAGACAGGATTTGCTTTTTAAGACTGAGGCAGGGGGAGGTCATTCTCTTCTTTTGTAACTTACAGTGTGAACTAAGTATAAAACTCATTTCTGTTTCTTACACATAAACATGTACACTTCAAACTGACCTTTTACTTCATAGATATGTTTTCCATTAGTTTAGGCACAGAGGCTTTGCAGTTGCTCTCAAAGACTGTTCCTTTAGTTTACAGAAGCTGTTTTCTGCCCCTACATTTAACACATCCCTGTTTTTTGTTCCCTCCCCTGCAAAGGTGTGTCTTGTTATGGAGTATGCTGAAGGAGGTTCTCTATACAATGGTGAGTATCACTTCAACATAGTGTCTTGCTGGACCTAAAGCACTAGTATTAGGGCAAATGTGATCTAAACTATAAAGCTGTTTCATATGTATGTCTCCATCCTTGGAGATACTCAGAAGCCACCTCACCAAAGTCCTGGGCAACCAGCTGGAGGTGGCCTGCTTGACCCTGCTTGATAGACCTCTGGAGGTCCCTTCCAGCCATTCTCTGGTTCTTTGAAATTTTTCAAATAGTTTTAAGGAGAAAGGAGTTTGCTTTTTAAAACCAGTTTTCAGTCCATTGGTTTGTTCTTGGTATCAGTTTCTTATATTTTATACAAGCCATTTAAGGTTTTCCAGTGGAACATCTGAAAAGATTTGTAAATTCCCTGACCATTTATTTAAGACAGACTTTACCAAGGATAGCTGAGAACAAGCAACACCTTTCATATTGAATTTTGACATTAAAAATTATGGAAAGCATACTAAAAAGCAGAAAATATTTTGTCATTTATTTTAAAAAAGTCTCCAGAAGGATATTTTCAGTTGCAGTCATGAGGTGTTGATAATTACTTAGATTCCATAGAGCTTTCTAACTGGTATTTTGTTAACTCCATCGTATGTGTTGTAATATGCAATAAAGTTCTTTTTAGTTTGTGCCTTTGTTTTGCAGTGCTACATGGTGCTGAACCTCTGCCTCATTATACTGCTGCACATGCCATGAGTTGGTGTTTACAGTGTTCCCAAGGAGTGGCATATCTCCACAGCATGAAACCAAAGGCTCTAATTCACAGAGACCTGAAACCACCAAAGTAGGTTCATATTTTATATTTTCTTACAATTGGAATTTAAAATAATTTTTAAATATTTATTGCATTTGAAAAGAACCTTTAATTGATACTTTTGAGTGTACTGTATTCCAAATGAAAGCTGTGCATTTGAAACTTCAGTTACAGAATGATGGTGTATGATACAGAAAATGAACTGTATTCAGTTACATTCTGTCAAACTGGAAAAATGTCCTGCTCCTGCCCTTCATCATGGAAGAGGATTTTGTTAGAAATAAGGTTTCTAATCAGAGGAACTTAAAATCCTCCAGTTTTGAAATGGTTTTGTTGTTCAGTAAGAGAACATCGTGGTGAGGTTGTTTGGTTGATTGGTTCTGATGTCATATTTATTATATTAGATCTCTTTCACCACATGGCCATCCTTTTTTATCCCCTCCTTCTGCCAGTTCTACTACCCCTGCCAGAAGCTCCCATCGCTTTCCACTGAAACAAAATTTAGTAGTTTCCTATCCACTGCTTGCTATCTGACTCACTTTACAGCTTCAGATCTGGCTGTACAGATTAAGTAGAAACAGATATTTGAGTATGAGCAGAATCATCCCTTTTTTATAGTAGCCTGCAGTTATTACCAGGTAAAATCCTAATATGAAGCCACACTTTAAATCTTTAGTTCTTTCTTGTATCCCCAGTTTTAATCTAGAGAGCTGCTAACATGTAACTTCAGTGCTTTCGTTTAAATAAATATCTGTGTTGACAGATATTAGCGGGTGTCTTGACCATTCTTCTTTTGCTAAAATTGTTACAGCACTAGTTTTTCAGCCTCTGGAATCTGAAGGACTAATTTTGTCAATATATGCTTAGTGATTTACTATGGCTAAAGATACTTAATTAAATTTAGCGTATAGGAATAAATTACAATATATATTGGGGTATTTTAAAATATTTAATATGTTCACATTAGAAACAAGTGACCTTACTGATTTCCCAGATTATAAAACTAAAGCACTGAGAATCAAAGCCTAAGACATTCAACTATATTACAACGATAGTTGTTGGGATAAAAAAAAAAATCAGTGGTTTATTGCCAGACTATTTCATCACACAATTTTAATATCTTTTTTTTTCTTTGACAGTTTGCTCCTGGTAGCTGGGGGGACAGTTCTAAAAATCTGTGACTTTGGTACAGCCTGTGATATTCAAACACACATGACCAACAATAAAGGAAGTGCTGCTTGGATGGCACCTGAAGTTTTTGAAGGTAATAAAAATTCACAGTGTCAGTATTTTGTGTTCTTTTTAGGGATACAACTGTGAATTAATGTGGTTTAGGAAACAGAGGATCATATAATCTTTATTTCAATGTGTATAAAAGTTTGAGGTAACAACTGAAAGAGTCTTGGCAGAACTCTTAACATTTATTTAAAAATCTGTACAATTATATATTGTCAAATAATTATGCAGAGGTTTAAAGAACAGCACTGAACCAACTCTCTCACATTAGTATTAGATATTTATTTGTGTCATGGCTAAGATTTACGTAAGGAGTAACTCTAGACAGCTGCTGTTTCTTATTTTGTAACTACATCAAATACAGACAGAGGGCTCTTGCCCCACAATTTTAATGTTTCCAAGATTCTTAAATTATTTCAAACTTTTCTGACATTTAAATACACTGTCATTACTTTCATTCACTATTCTGATCGGCTTTTAACTTGAGAGTTTCCCTGTTAGTGTCTCTAAATTAAACATAATTGCCTTCATTTTCAATCCCCCACTTTCTTGTAACTCCATCTTTGTCTGCTTTTTGTGTAATCTAGAGATTTGATGTACTTCCTCTTTCCTACGTACCAAGGAACTTGTTATTACCAGTTAATTTAGTTAAGTAGGAAAATAAGCTATTTCTTGGAGTGTAACTGGGAAAGACTGATGACACTTGATAATTAGATAGGTATAATTGCTGCATGATTATCACAGAAATAATCCAGTCTATATTAAATTGCAAATTAAACACCGTTTAGGCAGTCAGTACCTTAAATTATCAAAGTGATTTAGCAGTGGTCTGGAAAAAGTCATCTTCCTGCTTTAGGAAGTGCCTCTGTGGAGCAGTGGTTTCCCCGATTCTGGATCCAAGTGGCCTCTTTTTCTTTTAATGTCCTTATTCCAGAGACTGTTCCCATACAGTTTTAGGAGGTGTTTCCTCACAAACATCACCTTTGGAGCTTTTGTTTTGAAGGTACCATTTTCTTCCACATATTGCTTAAAGTACCAACCAAAGGGTTATGTGTTTCACTCTGGTGCCTGAAAATTTTCCAGATACCTACTTTATTTCTTTAACTCTAGCTAGGAGTGCTTCTTTTCTTAATGTTTGTTTATTATTAAATTAAATTGTACAAATAGAGATTTTTTTCTTTTAGAAATAATCAGTTGGACAATTAGTGTTACAGATAGATTTTCTTTTTTTGAGTGAAAAATGTTAATCTAAAATGAATACAAATAAGTATATTATGGTAGGGATTTGCAGTGCATATCCTAGTTCCTCTGGTGTATGAATTCAGCAAGGCAGAACAAAGAAATCTTGTATTGCAGTTGTACTTTTGGACAGCAGCAAAAATCTTCAGTCTACAGTTGTTTTTATGTACTTTTAACTGAAAGTGTTTATTGATAAAGAGACAAATTATTATAAATGGACAAGTATCAAGGAAAGGAAGAAATCTAGTAGCTTCTATGATGCAGCATATCAAATTACTCCAGAAACAGTTATTAAGCTACTAAAACAACCACGTCAAATGTCAGAATTGTTAAAAACTTGTTTGCCTAAGCTACCGAATCAGAATTCAACAATGTAAAAGATGCTAATATTATTCTGTTACTGTTCTAGTACTAATGTTTTTAGATTAGAACAATAAAGACATGAGAAGTATCTGTTGTAGAAGACAACTACCTATTGAAGCAGTTGCCCTAATATTAAGATTTTCTTCCCATTTTAAACATTAGGGCACCTAAAGCCTTGTACAGATCAAATAGTCTAAATGAAAATAACATGATTTAGATCGGGATAAAGTTAGAGAGAGCAATTCTAATATCAGAACTCTCATTAGAAGAAACCATTTTAAAATTGCTGTGGAATGATTGAGGAATGATTGTGTCTATCCAATCTTGGTCTATCACATACTAAAATAATAGAGAATATTCTCTCACTTTCTTTAGACTCTGTTTTCAGAATTAGTCCAAGACTTCTCGGCCTCAAAACAGAATTTCCTTGTGCCAACAGGAGAATAGGGCTCCTTTCCTTTCATAGGCTTAGTGTCACAGAAGTGCTGTGACTGCATAGATGAGACTGTTTTGCTTCCCTTAGTGATCTGCCATTGTTTACATAGGTTGGAGATCTTTTCCAACCTTAATAATTCTATGATCAACTCAAACTGTACTTCTTTTTAATGTGTTACATAGAAAAGACACAAATTATATTGATGACTTTCTTCCAGGTAGCAATTACAGTGAAAAATGTGACGTTTTCAGTTGGGGTATTATTCTCTGGGAGGTAATCACCCGTAGGAAACCTTTTGATGAGATTGGTGGTCCAGCTTTCCGAATAATGTGGGCAGTTCACAATGGTGAGTTGAAAATACTTTATTCCATTTGAAGTTGTGTATTTGACCTATAAATTTGCTAAACACTCTTAACCATGCAGCTTTAAATTACTAGTGTTTCCATTTTATGCTTCATTAAATATACACTTTTGTCACAAAGACTACATAGTTAAACACTGCCACTTCTGTGTCAGTGTGGGTTTTGTGTTATTTGGCTGCTATGTGTAACTGGCATATGAATAAAGAAGGGTAAAGAGCCATGTCTTCTTTGTTATGACACTCCATTTTAAAAGTGGTCTGAGAGGTGCTATAGAAAAACCCACAACCCCTCTATCCGGATGAATAGTGATTTTTGTTAGCCAAGTTGTCTCTTTTATTTTTTTTACTCTTTGTAGTTAAATGTCTACAATAAATGTGTAACTTGAAGTAACTTGACCTGTGTTTAGAAATGCTGGAAACTGTCAGACTCCTGCAGGACCATTAAGCATTAAAAATGTCACTTTGTTTTTCATCTGTGGTGTTTTGGGTTTTGTTTTTTTTGTTCTGCTGTTGGAATGGTTTTACCTTTTTACCTAGGCACCTGCACTCATGGGGCAGCACTCTGCTGTGCTAGGTATTATATAGAACAGAGTTTTGTGAGCTTAGACTATAAACAGGGCACAATGGTTGTATTCAAATGGACTTTTTCTTTAAAGCAGTGGTATAATGTTGGTCAGGATAGTAGATTGTAGTATCTTCATGCTAGTGGTGTAACTTTTTTACTGCTGTGTTTTTAAGTACCATGGCAAAACAGTTTTACAAACAATTAAGTAATGATAGTGAAGTAGTTCAGTGACTGCAAAGAATTTCTGCCATTTGTGAGAGACAACATCAAAGCAAGCACAAACTTGTTTGGAAGAAAAAAATAACAAACAAGCAATGAAGGCTGTTTTTTCAAATACACAGGTCATTTAAAGTTAGGAGTAAAGAGTGCCTTGCATAAAAGCATTAACTGTGAAACTAAGTGTAAATCTAATAGTCATAAAACCTCAATAAGGTGCGGGCATATCCTTTAGGGACAGAAAAATTCCCCATCTGTAGCTACTTTTGCTTTAAAAACTTATCCTTTTTATCTTCTTCCATTTTCTTTTTCCTTCTTAAGAGGAAATATTAGTACACTTCATCTCACTTAAAACTGTTGTGGCACTCATGTATTACTCGGTCTGTTTAATATATTTTTAAATACTTGCTGATTGCTTTGCAAACTGTCACTGTTCCTCATATATCAGACACAAGCGGTTGTCCATTAATTGTATTCCTTGTTGAAATCATAAAAAGAGGAGAACCTTGAACCAAAAAACAGCTGAATAGTTATACAATAGTTGAAGTAAAATATGTTATTACAAATGTGTGTAGGCATGAGAAAGTTGCACAGAATTGGTACTTCCAGTGCCTGTAGTTTTTAAGGAAGTTTATAAGGGCAAAATCAGCTCTCAAAAATACTTCAGGTGTTTTGGTTTTTTCATTATTTTTTTCTTGTGAATACAGCATTAGGAACCAAAGACTGTTACTACTTGCTTCCTAGTTTGTTCTAGAGCTTTATTCTTCAGCGACAAGTAACATTAGCCATTGTAATGTGCTGTATTTATTCAGGCCTCTACTGAAGGAGAAGTGTAATTTTTTTCTACTTGTTTGTATGTAATTGTAGCCTCTATGTAGTGCAAAGTAACTTTTCTTTTGATCAATTTTTGTTTGTAAGAGAGAAAATTAAGTACAAGCCAGTTCTTTCAGCCTACGATTAACTCTACCTTTCCCTATATTTATTTAGCAAAATACTGGAGAGAGATCAATCACTGTCAGTTGTTTATTATAGTCTGTTTAAAAAATTAAGGATTTTTTCTAATTTCAATTACAGGTACTCGACCACCACTGATCAAAAACTTACCTAAACCAATAGAGAGTTTAATGACCCGTTGTTGGTCCAAGGATCCTTCTCAACGACCATCCATGGAGGAAATTGTTAAAATAATGACACACTTGATGCGGGTATAAAAATTTATTTTAGTATCTTAATCAGTTCTTAATCTGTTAAGCTAGGAAATTGAATTACAAAAGGTATGCCTTTCATCACACTCTAAAGATGGGCTTACATGTTTTCTTTCTCCTCTTTCTTTTTGATAAAAATTATCGATTATGGTGGAGAAGGGAAGTAATTAATCTCTTTATGGGGGGCTATACCAACTCATAACAGATTTGAGAAAATTAAAAAAATACTCATAGGTGTATTTTAATGTATGACTAAAAATATTTGCATTTACGTGTCTTCAAAATAAATTATTATAAATATATAAATTGTATTTCTAAATTATGAGATACTATTAAAATAATTTTAAACCAATGGTTAATTAGGTTTTTTTATCAACTCTTTTTTCACAGTACTTTCCAGGAGCTGATGAACCTCTGCAGTATCCTTGCCAGTATTCAGATGAAGGCCAAAGCAACTCTGCCACTAGTACAGGTACATTTGTGTAAGTTAGAGAAAAAGAATAGCGACATAAGCATTGACAGGGATCTATTTTTTTTGTTAATACTTCTTACCACATCATATTCAGTGTTCTCAGTCAAATGGTTTTGATGAAGTTTACATGTAATGGACAACAAGTTTATGGTAAAAGCTGTCTCCAAATGTCCAGGTTTAAAGTCTCCTTTTTTTTTCCCATGAATGTTGCTAACAATTAACACCTTTTCACTAATATGTAATATGTAGGAGTTGTCAATTTAAAATTTTTCACTACTTTTGAAAGCTGCACCTCTTTCAGTTACAATATCCGGAATTTAAACTTGCATTTGTTTTATGTTAAGAGGCATTAAATACAGTAATTTAAATTACGTGCAAGAAAATAACCAGAAAGGTGGATGGAACAAAATGTGGGCTAGACTTTCAGGTAGTCTTGCTCTCCAATAAATCCTTTTAATAATAGAAAATGAAGATCATTTGGTCTCCTCATTTTTTAGAGTACAGGTTTTCCATTTAAGTAATTTTTAATCTTAGGTGCCTTCAACTTCCTCTGCTTGGTTGGTTTATTTTCTATCTCCGAAGAAATTGCTGGTATTTTGGATAAAGTTTCATTGGCTACTTTACAATTTAGTGACCTGTATATTAACAAAATCTTTGCAGCTCTAGCATTGCACTGACTTTACTAGTTGTTCTCCACCTCTCAGCACATGATTTTAAGACATAATTTATCATTTTAAACTGTGAATATATATTGACTGTTATTTATCAGGTATTTGTGCTCTTCTGTGGTTAATGATGGTCTTTGTCATTAATTGTGAATGAGATTGCTGGTCGTATTTTTAATATGACATTACCCTAACAATTTCAAAGAAAGCTAAAGATTGACTTCTGAATGTTACCGTAGTAGGTAGTTGTGTATTCTTTTTCACTCCTCTTACTTCTTACAGTAATGGATCTGTTGCAGTCTTGCAACTTGCCTTTCATTAAAAGTTTTGAAAAGTGTTGTTTTAAAGCCAAGTTAGACTTCTGAGAATGCTGTAGTGAAGAGATGCGCTTCAGTATTTTCAGTGGACATTCCCAAATGTTTTTCTTTGTAACTGGTTTCTAGGTTCATTCATGGATATCACTTCTACAAACACGAGTAACAAGAGTGATGCTAACATGGAACCAAGTGACTTCCAAGGAGCTTCTACCAATGACACTATTAAACGTTTAGAGTCAAAATTGGCACAACAAATCAAAAACACAACCAAGCAGCCGGTAAGCTGAATTGTGCAATTTTGAACCATAATAATGAAGTGGACATGGGCAGACAAAAGTGTTGTATCTGCTCTGAAACATTTGTGTCCTCCTTCAAAAATCATACAAAATTGGACCCAGCTATTTATAGGAGAAGAACATGAAAAGGGATGGAAATATATTGAATAATTCCAAAAATGTAAACTGGAAGGCTCTATTAAGATCTCCAATGAAATGTAAAAAATAGTTCGTTCTATTCAAAGGTATTTATTAGATTAAAAAAAAGATGTGTTTGAAAATTGCTGCCTTAATTTAAGTCTAAAATGGTAGTATGATATAAAAGGATTAAACATTTATGTGAATTTTGAAAATACTGTGTTTTATTTCAAGTAGAATGCAAAAATACAAAGATTCTATTCTGATAATATTGACCTAGTTCTACTGATTTTTTTATCTGTGTATAGTTAGATTATTTTCAAAGTTGCAGATATTTCAGTTTTATATGCCAAATAGCTCAATTATTACCATTTATTGTTACAAATTTTAAATCTTCTCACTTTTAAAATGCACATTATAAAAATGTATTTTAACCTACATACTGGTGCATATCAGGGAGGGGCTTGTGCAGAATTTTCTTTTTAAAAATGTGACTGTTGCAACAGGGTGATCCCGGCCGTTTGAGTTTGCCCCCATCTCGTGGGAGCAGCGTGGAGAGCTTGTCAGATGTTCGCGCACGACCACCGTCAGCCCTTGTTTCAGGAGAAGCCAAAAGGATGAGTGCTGATATGTCTGAAATAGAAGCAAGAATAGCTTCCATCACAGGTAAAATTAAAGGATGTTTGGGGCGTAGATTAAGGAATTGGAAGGAAAATGTGAAATGTGCATAGTCTTACAAAAGGTTAATACCAGTAGCTGTATGAAAATACTTTGACTTTACATGTAGTCTTTATTGTCTTTTATTAATTGTGGGAGGGAAATGGCTTTATTTATGGTTGTACAGTCAGCAATGTTGAGTATTGTAATTCAGTATTTTAAAGGTGGTAGAAGAGATTTTGTTGAATTAGATTTTTACTTTTTTTAAAAACACATTATAAGACTTTTAAGTGTCAATCCTATTCCAAATGCACAACTTTCACTTTTGCATCTGAAATAGTGTTATTTTATCTCTGCTAGCATAATTATTTATATAATAACATTTTCTTCAAGGTTATTTCTATAATATTTTTGAAATTAAGAGGTAGGTTTAAAGTTCAGCATGTTCCCAAATAAGTTTTAAAATCCACTTCGGCAGATTTCAGAAAGAGGAGCATAGTTAGATTTTATTCACGAGATTAACAAAGCATTGGTGTCTTCTGTTTAAAAAAAAAAGCTACAGGTGTTTTGCCAGGTTTGCTTCAGCTATAAACTGTTATTTCTAAACATTAAATCTTTGAGAGAATTGGAATTTATCTGTAAGTATAAGTACATAATTTTATGGTGAAAGCAATATCTATTCTTCCCAGAAGAGTGAATTAATAAACATGTGTATACTTGGCAAACACTTTCTTGTCTCTTTTCTTCATCAAAGATATTGTTTGTTAATTTATGTAAGCTTCAGGTTTTAAGTTCTATATGTGAAAGTTTTGGTTTGTTATGGTATATAACCACACATTTAAATAATAAAACAAAATTACTTTAGTTAGTTCAGGGTTATTTAGCCGTTTAAGTATTTTTCTACCAATCTGAAAATTAGGGTAATTGAGTAGATGCAATTAATAAGGAATTATGTATCAAAATTCTGGCTTTCTTGTGCTCCATGACTATTTCATTTTGTTCTTCATTGTATTATGGTTACTCCAAGATCTTGTTTTACTAAATACTGAAGTTACTCATGACATAATATTTACTTTGCCCTAAACACATTTTACTTTCATGTTCTTATTTTAAAGCTTTATTCCAAAATTTGTCTTTTGTATTGTCAGTCTTTGACTGGATGATTGTGTAGCACATCTCACCCTGAATATCTCTAAAGGTTTCTTAACACAGAAGGCATCTGTGTACTTACCTAGTAATAACACCATGCTGGTTTTATTTTAAAATATGTCAGGACTCACTTTGGTCACTGACACTATTAATGTAAGTATTTTACATTAGTGGAGATAATCTGGCCCTCCTCTTTTTGCAAGTTTTTAGTTTTTCTATTTTGTCTTCCTTAAATACATTAAGGAAGACAATAATAATTACTATTCAGAATATTCTAATAATTTTTTTTGTTAGCACTGTAGGGTTTCTTTTTCTTGAAACAAAAGTATATATATATTTTTGGTTTGGGGTTCTTTGGGTATTTTTTTAAAAAATCTCTTAAGGCTGTAGAAGACTACTAGAAATGAGGGTCAAACCCATCTGACCATAACTTTTTCAGAAAGAGCTGAAACAGCACTGTGTTGGTTTTGGTTTGTTTTTTCAATCTTGTTAACTGCGTGACAGAAGTAATATGCTGTGAACCTGAAAAAAAATTGTGTGGCTGGGTGAGAATTGGGCTGTTGTTAAATCAAGTCAAGAATTAGTTAATCTTGTTCCAGCTTTCATTAGATTAAGTGTAAGAGTAAATCATGTAGTACACATCACCATTACTTACTGAGATGAATATGCTACAATGTTCTGGTTTTGGGAGATGCATTCAGTTTTTCTCTAAATAGGAACTATTTATCTTAAACTACAAAAGTAGCAAAATAAAAAAAAAGTATGATTAGATTTTAATTCATAGTGTATGACATTTCTTGAACATCAATCAAAAATTACAAGGTTGGTAGTGATATCCAGCTCCAAAATTGTCACTAATGGGACAAAAGAGTGAGCAGCAAGAATGATTATCAAATGTAGTAAGAGTAAGCATTTTTTCAGAGACAGATGAGATTTGCTTTGAAAGGAGGTGATTTAAAGAAGTATCTAACTATTAAACTTGTTTATAAAATAGTTTGTTCTCAACACTAAAGAGAAAAGGTTATATAAGTTCAGAGAGTCAAGAATTTATTCTGAATGTACAGGTGAACTGAAATAATTTCATTTTTTTCTCTGTTTGGATAATTACATTTGGTTTTCCCTTCCGTGTTGCCATGCTGCTTTCTGTGTTTGACTTTTGTGTTGCTAACTGTAACTAATTACACCGTGTTGTAATGATGGCTAGTTCTGCATTTTTTGCTTTTTAACCGTTGCTTAATTACGTGTAAGCATGAGTGGAAGGCAATGCAGTTTATTCTGCATGACACATTTTTGCATGAACTCTAATTTAACCAAGTATATGAAAAGTGCAGTATTAGGAATTTAATAATTTTGCTATTGCCATTTTAGTGTTTTGCATGTGTATTGTATATGTGTATTTTTTCAGCCTATTCCAAGCCTAAACGAGGCCATCGTAAAACTGCTTCATTTGGCAACATTCTGGATGTCCCTGAGATCATCATACCAGGTATCGCAGACCAGGTGAACGGGTCAGTGGTTAAGATGCCGGAATAATGATCAGACTGCTAAAATACTTCTTGCTCCAGTTGCTGTAGGACAGAACTAGAAATTATCCCACAAAATTTTTCGTAATGCTTCTGTAAAGAGAAGCATAATATTTTATTACAAGCTTACTTTTATCAGTAAAGGATTCAGTCTTCTAGTTCAAACTTAGTTCTGTTGATAAAGCATTTTTTCCTTTATTATCTTGATGTTTAGAATCTTCTTATAGAGGAAATCTATATATACAGTCTTTTATTACAGCGCCTCATTTGGTAAAAATGGACTTAAGTTGAAAAATTCCTGTCTAGGTATTTATTTTGCCCTGATCTTTGTTGTGTTTGGGCTCCTATTTTTTAATCAAATATTAGTAGAACAAAAAACTTAAATACATTAGGTACAGAATTTCAAATCCGTGTGATATCTGTGATTAAAACATTAACACTTAATCTGTGTAATCCTTATATTTGACTACACTGTTCTAGATCTAAAATGTGTCTGCGTGAGGTATTTCTGTTGTGTTTAAGTAAATGCAAACTAAAATTACTAGAAGAGGCTTCTGACAGGAAGAAAATCAGTATAATCAGGCACCATAGATGATAATTTCACTTGGGACTTTAATGAATAATTCTCATGTATCCCAGGTCTATTTTTAGTTAGTAGCATAACGTTTTCCTTTCCCTTTCCATTTTTTTTTTGCAACCAAAGTGGATTTCTTTCTTTCATTTCATACTTCTCAAAGCCTAAAAATAAGTATAATCAATCCCAAACTGTGATATGTATACCATTAGCAGTATGCAAGTCACTTCAGAATTATTTGTCACAGACAGGAGATGCAAATGATAGTATCTACTGCTAATTTAGAAATACATTAGAAACTGTGGACCTCTCAGTCTAAATTGGTGTCATCTGAGGAAGTTACCTTGTAAATCTTGATATTGTTTGGTATTTTAAAGTAGAATGCAGAAGATAATTTTGTACAAAAGTTTCTTTCAAATAACTTTATTGAAGGTTACGTATAAAAATACAGAAAAAATTGAGCAACCCATGAAAAGAAAACTACTTTGGCATTGAGTCTAACAAATTGGCAAAAGAGTTTGCTAGGGTAGCTTTCCACTGTAACTTTCAAAGGGTCCTGGCCTGCAATGGCATAAATGAAATCCTGAGAGAGCAAGGAAAGCAAAAGTGGAGAGATCTGTCAATTTTCACAGTGTTACCACATGCTGAGAGCCTGTTAAATAAGCTCTAAACGCTAATGAGTTCCTCTTCTGCGCACACAGTCTGCACATAACAACACCGAGGCTTCCAAGAAACCCTGAAACTTTTAAGGAATGATGAAGTCAAGTTAAATGAAATGCCATGTTGTTTTCACAAAATAGATTATACCAGTCTATTGGTTTCTTCGTTAGGCAGAGGAGTCATTAGAAATTTTTCACCTGGTCTATATTAATTGAACTGGACAAGATGGGAATTCCAAGATGAATTATTTGGAATACATATGAAAGAAATAGCAACTTGTAGAAATGAAAGAAGTTAAAGGGTTGGAGCAAGCATATCAATCAATTTTCTCAAAATTTAAGTCAAATTTTAAGGTATTTAAGTCAAATAAACAATAATGAAATTCACTGATAATGTTTTATCAGAAGCAACTATTCATAAAGAGGAGGATTAGAGTATTACATAAAGTGAATTTTGCTGTGACCGAAAAGGAATGGGGTAAAATCCAGGGTCATGCATTGTGGCTCACACACTAGCAACTGTTTCTTTTAATAAGATGACATGGGACCATAGCAGATGTGTGCAGATGAATCCTAGGTAGTATAAGCCACTAATCTAATGCAGTTCTGAAAAACTGAAATCTTAACGTTCATTTCCAGGAAGAATGAAGAAGCACTGATGCTATTTATAGGCCCTTGTTGAATTTTAATCAGGAATTCAATATACTGTTGTGGTCAGTCGTATAAAAGAAACATACATGCACTCTGAAATAATATCAAGAAGAGCTAATAGGATGTTATGGAGAGTATAAAGAAGAATCTGAAAGCATGGCTTTTTTTAGCCCACAAAATGAAAACTAAGAAATTAATAATTATCTTCTATAGATGAATCTCCAGCTAAAAACTAGGAAGAGAGAACTACTTAAGCTAAAAGACAATATTGGCACTACAGAAGAAATATTTAAATTGTCTGCAAATACATCTGGGCTGTATATTGAAAGTTTCCTGGTTGTCAGAACAGCTTTCCTGTAATAATCCCAAAGCCAGAAAAAAATGAGATTAATCATTACATGACAGGGACATGATTATCTGCCTAGTAAACTAGTTATATTCATCTGTATACTTAAAGCAGTTATGCAAAAATACCTTGCTTGGTTATTCTTTTAAAAACAATGTGTTTCTCACTGCTTTCCTTTTCTTACTCTCTCAGTTCCCCCAAACTGTCACCTCCATATCGATCCCACCCCGTTATGTTCCATAGCACTTCTGCCCCGGACCCTGCTCCTCCGAACTTCCCTGGGCATGTCCCTCGGTGGGGCGAGCAGCTCATGTAGGTCCTTGGAGCAGCACAAGTGCCGGTCTGTGCTGCTGCCTGGAGTTGTGCTGAGCACATGGTAAAGCAGCTGCTGCCCAGGGAGGGGAGGCACGACGCAGGCATGTTACCGTGAGTCAGCTGCTTTAGGGCAGGGCTATTTTAGAAGTATGAGTACTACATCTGCTATCATTGGGGGTTTTCGTAATGTGTTGCCTCAACTGCATTTCGTCCATGAACTGATTATGCTACCAAGGTCGTAAAATACACGTTTTTATCAATTAAAGGTAAAATATTGGCAGAAGGGGAAGTTTCTAATATATATTTGCTCTTCTTTCTAAATTAGTACAATAAGGGTGACTAGAACTTTTTGTTCATTTAAGATGCTATTTTGTATTGCTAGCTTACAAACTTAGAAACTGCAAAATGGATCAAATAATTCCTTCTTTGTCTAACAGCATAGCAGGAGTTTGCAGTGGTGGTTTCCTACAATCAGGTAGACAAATGATGTATCAATTCTTTTTTTTTTTAATTTACGATGTATATATAGCATAGCTTATAAGCACCAACATTTTATTTTATATATATATATATATATATATATATATATATGAAAAATGAAAACCCTAGTAAGTGCAAAAGGTTTAAGTAGCTTTATGTTTAAAGAAACAAAAAAAAATCTGAATTATAGTTTGCATACCTTTTCAATACAAACCAGTCAAGCAGCAAACCTTCAAGTACAGTCTTTTCTTCACTGGCAGTGTTAGACATCTCGTGCATTTAGCATGTGTGCATTTGGCTTTATAATTTTGTCATCTGAAATTCTGCCACAGCGTTATGATTTTTATAGCATTGACACTGCATAAGTGATTACTCAAGATAGACACATTTTGTTGAGGGTCTTTAGAAAGGGGATAGGAATTATGGATGCTTTAGGTCTGTAATTTTGCTATCTACTTTTAAAACCAATATATACCAAAAATCCCACCCTTGGCTTCCCAAATCATTTAATTGTTGTGGAGTTCAGATCAATTTTTTAACTTCCTCAGAATGTTTTCTAGCACTGTTACAGTTACTGATCATCCTGCAGTGTGAGAGAGGTTTGAGTCTTGTAGGTGTGTAAGGAAGAGAGAGTACTGTGAGTAAATAAGAAAGTGTAAAAGGAGATGCCAGTATCTGTTAAAGGGCAGGGAGAAGAGGTCATAGCTGGTCTGGATGTTTGGCGGTAGGGTGGGGGTGGTGATCAAATAAGTTGTAGAATTTATTTTTGCCTGCAGTATGTGGGGCAGGACATAATGGAAGTTTCCTGTTCCTTTAGAATTTAATTTTAGAAAATAAACAACAGTGTGCAAAATGGGTTTTTTTGTGGCCAGGAAGTATGTTTGTGACATTTGCTTTTTAATCTTAAAATCCTGTGAACTACTAAAAGCCTGACACTGGGCATCAAGCTACTGTAGATGAACTTCTGTGCATGTACAAATCTCTTAGTTTTTATAATGAGGAAAAATCCATTTTAAATGGACACAGAAGTAAGAACAAGATCATAACTGTGAGAGGAAAGCATAAAGAAGTAGCAATGATCATTTCAAATAAATATTTCATGTTGTGTTGTATATTTTTCAATTGAAATTTTTCTTGAATCTGGAGCAATAAGTATTTGTTGATTTGTAGTCTGTTTCTGCCTTGTCTAAGCTATTTGCCAGATGTCTGCAGTAGTTACACTAATTAAAATGGCATTGCCTAGTAGAGCTTGCTCTTCCCTCATGCTACTAAATTGAAGATATTTCATTTAAAGGTGTTCATTTTTTACAACACAGTAGTTTTGGCCCCTTTTTCTCTCTCCCCTCCCCCTCAACCCAAGGCATTTTCTTTTCTTTCTTGCACCCCACCCTGATTATTTTAACATTTTGGCAGCCACGTTCTAATATTTCAGCAACAGATGTGCTGGGTTCTTTAAATTCACAAATGTTGCTAATCTGAAATGAGAATTTCAGATATTTTTGCAAGCCTATTTCAGCTGAGCTAATTTTATAACAGTGTTGTTGAATGAAATGTGCACATAATTTTGTGTCAGTTGTGGGTGGATTGCACATATCTTGAATACTGAGATGAGCTGTGGCAGCCAGATGAAGTATCCATGGCACAGAATTCTATTAAATGTATAATCTTGTTTGTTAAACGATTACACAGTGAAAAAGTTCACTGCAAATGAACAAGTTCAGACATTTTGACATAGAATAGTCATTCACATGATCCCTAGTATCAAAGTATTAAAAATAACTTAGCTGTTGTTGCTTAGGTAAGTATATACTTTCCCTGAATTTCAGAAGCAAAAGATCAAGACCACAGAACAGTTGCAATTCAAATTCATTTGTAGGCAGAGCAAAGAATATATTCCTGTTCTAAAATACCGCTTGATTTTCTTACATGCTTGTTTCTTATGCTATAAATGTTAGATGATAAAATGTCATGACAAGTCGGTAGAGTGACACTGAAAATTTTTTATTGCTGTTTTGGGGTAGTGTGTTCCTACATGTAATAGTACCTATATTTAAAAATTTAATGGATTATTAAATGTATTGATCAGTATTAAATAGTCTTACATTTTTGTAGTAACTGTTGCAATTCAAAACATGTGTCAGGATAGGCTGTGGAGTCATATGGAAATGATGCTGAATGAGAAGTCTCTAAAAGGTTAAAAATGCGATGCCTTTTCCAGGGCTTTAAGTGAGCTGGGTTGGTTGCTGAGTGCAGGACTGCTGGGCGAGGGGCTGCCACGGCTGCAGTACATGTTTCAGATGCTCCCCTCCAGTAGCAAAGTTACGTAATGCAGAGCTAAGAGCAAGAATTTTGAGCATTGTCAGCTGTTACTCAGGACGTTTTGGTGTTTCCTTTTGGACAGCTGACCTGCTCTCAAGAGATAATATAAACAATCACTGTAATAAAAATCAAAGTAGCCAGGGAGATTCTGTTGCATAATCTCCTTTTATTTTTAAGAAGACTTTGTTTCCTGGAAATGCCTTTGATTGCGTGTCAGTGTTAAAATTTAAACTGTTTTATGTAGCTGTCACTGGTGGATAATTGTGAACAGGTGGAAGGAGAAGAGGAAAAGATTACAGCACTGTGCTCCGTAGGTTGATGGTGAGATGTGATTTAGCTGAACAGTCCCCTTTTCACACTTCTCAGAGCATGAGAATAGGACATAGTTTCGTTCCTCTGAAGGAGGCAGAAGACCAGAAGAAAGCACTTTCATTTCTTCATCTTCTTGAAGGGAGCAGCACACAGGCAGAAGTCCTTGCTGTGTTCCTTGAGCAAGCCAAAGAGCAACAGGTTAAAGCTGGCAGCCTGTTATCTTCGCGGTTTAGCTTTTAGAAATCCCCATAACGTAACGCACTTGAAATAGATGTCGTCATCAGCTCCTGCCCCAAGTACTAAGCCTGACCAAATACATGTGACAGAAGATGGTGGAGTAGAGTGCAGCAGCTATTCATGTGGTAGGAGTGGTTATTGTATTAGGGTATACTTTTTGTTGACAGGCCAGCATGTTTTGAGTTAAAATTCTGCAGCTGTCTCTCTCCTCTCCCACTTTGTCTCTGTGGATTTGTACAAATTCCAAGCTCCTCTGCAACAGTCGCACCCTTCTTATTTTGTTCTGAATATATTTCACTGGTTTGTTTTTGTTTTGTTTTTTTCCCAGCAGGAAACGGACAGCAGAGGCGCAGATCCATTCAAGATCTTAGTGTTGCTGGAACAGAGTCCAGTCAGGTAATGTGCTTCTCATCACTTCTTTGCGTTTCAGTACAGTCAGCACCAAATCCATACTGGGGAACTGGTCTGGAAATCTTCACCTTCGATGCTTTTGTAGAAATGATGTGGAAGCTTGGCAGACCGTAGGATTGCTTGTATTGAATTTAAATGATTCCATGAGGGTAATCTATGAATGAGCTCTAGATGAGAAGCATTTTCTATGTAGTTTATGCAGTATTTAGCATTTTTACATACACATGGTTTTTGTGTACCACTTAATTTGTCTGAGGGCAGATATTACTCAGGAAAGCCTTTTCTTCTCTCTATATGTAGAAGACAATTATAATTACTACTTACTATCTGAAGCAGTTACACATACATTAGACTAATTTTTTGCATGAAAACAAAAAGCATGTGCATCACTATTATAAATGTTATTTATTGTCAGTCTCTGAATCCTGAATAGTAACTTACAGTAAAATTTCTCCATTTCTTGTGAAAGATTTACAGCAGGATGTTGTCACAAAGTTTTGTTTTAAAAAAAGACTGTTTCAAAAAAATATTTTATAATAACATAGCTCCTTGTCTGGTATTCTAACTGCCATGGTAACAGAAATGGTGGTATGCTACATAACATGCTCTTAGTTTAATTTCAATTTTAAATGAGAGAAGTACAGCTAATTCTTCATTCAGATGTGTTTATTTTGTGTTTTTAATTGCTTCAATAATTCACAGGGCCTATTTGGTCCTTAGTGTGAATGGGCAATTTTGAGATCCCTACTATTAATTGGATGTGGGATACTGAAGCTTAGCATATTCATCAGGTTAATCAGGTTTGCATACTAAACAACCGACTGCAATAATCTAAAATAGGTGGTAATTCTTGGGGTGTGTAGTTATCAGGGAGATGAACATTTGATCCTTAATTCGGTGGAGTATTATAGCCACAGAAACCTCATCAATCCTATAGGTATTAGTAGAACTTACTGTGTGTATCTATCAGAAAATAACAGATGAGTCTTAAATACATTTTACTATCTTCAGAGAAGAGAGGTTTATTAGAAAGGAAAGAAATGAGTCTGCAAAATTGAGGAAAGAAATATATTAGCCTATTCAGTTAATTGTAGAACTAAAATTATGTAAGTCTTGGGGGGGGGAATTAAGTGACAGTACATCAGTTACACCAAATTGTGCTGATGGTATGGATATATTTAATTATAGCTTTTTTTATTTAGAAGTTTTCATTCCGTTCATTTTAATGAATGGTTAGTATTTAAAAATATAGAATTTCAGCATTTACTTCATATCTTAATAACTTATAACAGTCTTTCTTTGAAAGTTGTTCTACTGCTTGCATGGATGTTCAGGCTAAATTGTCCTTGTGACCAGGAGGATACACATTTTTTTTTTTTTATGTTTACTTCACCAATTTTATATGTGGGTCTGTAGAAGTACCAGAATCACATTTTACTTTCTTGCTTCTGATAGTGTACATATTGGAAATATGTGAAGAAGAATTGCCGTTATCTGTTTCTATCTTGCAGTTTTTGGAAACATTATGGTAAATCTGGAAAACATAATATTTTAACAGGCAGGAAAAATGCGCTTTCAAAGATATTTTTGCGCTGTCCATATAAACAAATAGTGAATTTTTATCCCCTTTTTGGTGTGAGAAGGGATTGAAAAATCCACTGAAGCTAATGCTAACTTTTGACGTATGTAGGTTTGTATGTTAAAAAAAAGGAATGGAAAATGAAGGAAGTAATATGCCTAAAGACTTAAGATTATTCTCTATGTATTTCTATAGCTCTGGACCTCAGTGCCTTGAATTTTTATTAACAATCTTGAACTGCTATCAGTATAGCAATCTACTAATCAAAGCTGAAAAAACATCTGAATAGCGTTGCTCTGGTCAGTTCATCCTATCTTCCCACATGCACCCTACCATATATAGGGTATCCTTTCTAATGTGAAAATCCCCTTCCCCCTCCCTCCCTTCATTGCAAACATCCTTCTTCCCCGCGTTGCATTCTCCTTTGCACCCACCCTGTGGCACGGCCTTCTTCACCAAGCAGCCATGGCACTGCGTGCCTCTAGTCCTGCACCCAGGCTGTGTATGTCCCTATCCCACTCAGAACTGAAGGACTGACACGGTGCCTCTTTTCTGGTTTTTAACTGTTTGACTGATACACTAAAGCTGATCAGAAATCTTTTTATTGAACGTATTTTTCCTGAAAATTGGTGCTGTGTTAATAGCAAATGATTCTGTTATAACTACTGGGTTTTAATCAGGAAGGTTTTCTTAAGGTTTTTCTCTTAAGGTGAAGGAAAACACCAGGCTTGATAATAATAAATATACTGAACTTTGGGTGCTTACCTGAACACGTAGACCAAGACTCTTGTCTTCCTTTTTAACTGCTTGTCTGTTTTAATTCAACCACCTTTTGTGTTTTATGATTTTATGGATATTTTATTTCTGTGTACTCTTATAAGAATTTTTTGTGTGGTTTGTATGGCTGCTGATTACTATATATATGTTGTTGAGACACTTAAGACACTTTCTGGTATTGCTGCTACTGGTGTTCTCAATAGCAGATAGTAATAGAGCTTTGCAGATGGTTTTACTAATCAGCATCAACAGTTTAGGTAGGCAAATATGGTAAGTCAAAGGTTTTCTATCATGGGATCAGCTGTTGGAGTGATTTGGTATTGAGAATATATGTTTAAGTCTGAATTTGCACGAGTTTCTCTAGTACTTGGTGACCTTAGACTGGTTGTTATTCCAAGTGACAGGAGCGGCACTGACACAACTGTCTCTGTAAAGTCAAATGCTACCTTTTTGTTTCTTTCCATCCAGATATTGTGATGCTTTATTCATTTTTCCACATAATTTTTTTTTGCACTGATTTGTTTTTTCTGCCTTTCTATTTCCCTGTACATGCATTTTAAACCATTATATTGTGTCATCTGTCCAGCACTACTGCTCTTGCCTAAACACCTTTGTAACACAGAAACACATGTGCAGACTCTGAACTGCACATTAATACTTTTGCAGCCATTCATACTTTTGGGGACTTGAAGGAACACAGCTAACTGGTATTTACACTGCATAGAGTCTTAACAGAACTTGAAGTTTTATACAGATACTGAGAAACACATCTGGCATAATCATGCAAGAACTGATCAGATACCTAGTAAGGTATCCATCTCCTTCCCTGTGTACTATGTATTGATTTGGTTGCTTTGATACATCATCTTTCACAGAATATCTTTCAAAACAACCTACTACCTTTTTTAAACATTGTTTTGTTTTGTTTTGGGGTTGTTGGTTTTTGAGGGAGGGGAGGTGTCGTAGCAGTTGCCTTCATAATTCTTACAGTTTACTTTGAAGTGTAAAAAAATGTATTAAAGAAAACCATGTACTGTGTTGAACAGTTGAGAAGCAAGGTCAGAATGTACATGCCCACATGCATGCAAACTAAGTGGGATAATTTGGGGGATCTGATATTGTACAGATGACTCATTCTTTCTGTGAGATTGTGAAATTTGTCACAGATGCGCATTCGTTTTTTTTCTCTCATGCTGAGATAAAATTCACAGATAAGGCGATGAGGAGACAGAGCTAATAATGATAATTTCTTTAAATTGTGTTGCCCACTTAAATTAAACTGGGACACGGGATGTTATTCCTCAGAGCACGTGAGCTTTTCCAGGCTGCAAGTCTTTGAGAAGTGGAAGCTAAAAGCTAGGAATGCCATGTGAGTTTGAGTGCCTGGAAGAGAAGATTTGAGAATAACCTGCTAACAAGTCTGTTAAGCATACTGAGATACCTGGAGGAAGCAAGGATGAAAGGATACTGGTGAAGGGGTAGCAGAAACTGATTGCTAAAGTACAGGCACTGGTTTTCCAATCAGAGGGGCTGATGACCAGGAGGCTTAAAGCATCTCACTCAACACGCACTGAAACACTGCAGTTTAACAGGTGTTCAGTTTTGGGAACTTCCCTTTGACTTTGTAGTACTTTTTAGATGTGCCTCCTATAGGAATCCTTCATTTTTATCTCTAGTTATTTCATCTAAATAATGTTATCGAGGAAATTTTTTGTTGTTGTTGTTGTTGTTGATGGACCAAAACAAGTTGAGAAGTTACTGTAACTAGAGTAGTTCTCAAGTGCCCTTTGCTATCAACTGTAGATCTCTTTTTGCTTAGAGGATTTGCATGCTGTTAAAAGTGATCTGTCTTCTGATCTTTCACATCAGCAGGGGATGTTTATCATTCATATCTGAGGATGCTGACAGTAAGCTCAGCAACTTAAATCTTGCTTAATATCAACTAAGACACCAACACAAAAGCTTTTTCAAAATGTCTGATGCCATCATCTTGAAATATCCATCAGATTATTTCTAGAGTAGTTTATTGCAGTGTGTCTGGCCATTAACTTAAAACACTAAATTGTGGCAATGGATTTGCCATATGCAGGATGGAAAAACTCCTGTCAGAGATGGATTGGTGAGGAAAACAGCTCAAACATTATGGAGACAGAAGTTTTTACTGTGGTTTAAACATGTTTCAGAATGGCTTTTTGTATTTTCTGCAGTGTCACTGTCTCCTTCTTCCCGACACCCCCTGTGAAGCTGTTGTCTCACACAAGGTGTCCTGGGAAGGTGTCTTGGGGTGTTTCTCATTGGTCCTTTGTTAACCCCTTTCTATTGGCTGTTGACCCTTTTCCTTGTTTTTTTTTTTTTTTTGCCCTTGACTTTTTGTTTGGCCCCTTTTGCCCTTCTTAAAGGCTTTTTAACCCCCACCCCCCCATTAACTTTCTTTTTTTTTCGTTCCTTCCTTTTTTGTTTTTTTTTTGTTCTTTGCGGGGTTGCTGGGCCACGTGCAGGGGCAGGGGGAAGGGCATTCACCTCGCAGGTTATGGGGCCAGCATCCTAAGGCCTGGAGGTCTCCCCAAATCCCACTAATCCACCATACTAAATGCTTAATAAACATTACAAAAGAAACACTATGCAATCAAAATAATGGATCTTTTGGTGTGTAGAATCTTGTTACTCTGGATTGTTACTTAACTGAAATCCTGGCTTTTAAAACCTAAAGTAAGGTAGGATATTTGGAAATCATAAAGGATCATAAAGAAATATGGTTTCCAGGAAATGTATATTTGAATGCTTCTTTTGAAAAATGGAGACATTTAATCATTTCATGATAAATACACCATCTTGAAAATAGTTGTATTTTAGTTGCATCTTTTTACTTCATTTTTTTCTGCAAAACTCATTGGGGCTTATAGTCTTAAGTCCTTTACTATGTTAATTTTATGTCAGTGAGGGGGTATGTGAAATACAAGCATACATATTGTAAATAATTATTCTGAAAAAGAAGCTCAGTAGAATAATGAAGTCTGTATTATGTTTTTGTGCTTCGGTAAACAAAAGGATTGGAGGAGTCAAACGGTATATAAAAGAACATCCTAGAGAATTTTGATTTAATTCTTATTTTGCTTCATGAGGGACAATGTACTCATTCTGATTGTTTTATTTCAATTGATTGATCCTTTTTGATTAAACACTTATTTCGTGTTTTCTGAAGATGAATCACATAAGCTCTGAGTTAACAAAAGAACCATAAGAAAACTGTAAATTAATACACTGCAGTCTAGTGCAGTTACTAAGCTATGTTCCTTTAGCTGAATGTAGTTTCATTCGCTGATTAAGCATTGGAAACAAACTATTTCTTCCTTATGTTATGGAGTTGCTAGATTTCACTGAATGGTGGTGTGAAAATTACTAGACATGTTGTCATGCTTTTCTGTAAAGATCTCGAACACATTGTTCAGCATTGCATTTATTATGCTGAGTAGCAAAATTGTATCAATTTATTTTACACAGTACAGATGGAGTACAAATGGGGATGAAATTATCCCTGCACTGCATGTAAAGTTGATCAAACTGTCAGGACAGCTTTCAGGGTAAAAGCCTGGGGAGGAGGGTATTTTGGAGGTTTATGGGTTCAGATTTCTTTCATTTTTTTTTGTTTTTAATGAACTTTTCAAAAATCTTCTGTTAACTTGTCATTTTGTTTTCTTTGTCATTTCAGGAGAGTAGAAACAGCAGTAGATCATCTAGTCCTAGTGTGAGAATGATCACTACCTCGGGACCAACCTCTGAAAAGCCAACTCGTAATCCATGGACACCTGATGATGCAGGTAATCCTTTGTTCCTTACTTAAATTTTTGCCTGTAAAAAATATAAAATATTTATTTGGTTGTGGTTACTTAGACAATAAGGGTAAGCAATGAAAGTCAAGGTCCATTTTAGTTCTGCTTAAATTAAATCATTACATTATGACTTGTTTTTCATGTAGGCTTTGAGAACACTTTTTTATAGATTATATTGAGTTACATAAACTTGTTAGTATTTTGCTTGTAAGAAAGCACTGTACATATGCAGTGGTACTAATACTTAATGAAGATCTTGTTAGCACCAGTTTTTTACTATAGTGTGGTTTTGGAAAATTAGAGGAATAGACATCTTGTTACATTTTAGTCTTGTGCATTCATATTATGAATGTACATTTAAAACTTTTGTTGCTCTGACATCTGGAGTGAAATGCCGTGTAGGTGAGTATCAGGAATAGGTTAATTCTGTTTATCATCTCTGTTGTAATTTGCTTATGCAGAATGTACATGTGTACATAAAATTACTGTTTTTAGATGAACTAACACGTGTCTGCAGAAATGTTGTAAATACTCTACTGTAGCATCACTGTTCTTTTGTTATGAAATAGGATTAAGAATGAACATAATTGAATAGTTGAATTCGATTTTAAAAGTCATAATGCATTCCATAATGAAAAGAACCAATACTGGACTGCATGAAAACAATGGATCCCACAAATTTCTCTTTAGAATATAAATGAAAATTACAATTTTGTTACCAAACTGTACATATTGAATCTTAAACTTAGACTCAAGCTGGTACTTCACAATATGTCAGATTCTGAAATCTTTTTCTTGTGATCCATTTCATCTGGCTGATCAGTCACTTTTATTCTTTTCCTCTAACCAAGTACAAAATGGAAACTCACATGTGGACTACCTCTTGCATAGGCATATGTATATATACATACATTTGTATGTATATATGCACACTTGTATTTCACCAAATATAAGGTGATTTTGTAAGACTTGTACTTTGGGGTTTTTCCCCCTGCTTTAGTGGGAGGAGGAGATCATACCGTTGCATTTAGCTTCTGTGTTTTCTTCCTTCTGTCCATTGTTACTTTGCCTGATCACATTCTGTGCCCTATCACTCATAATTTCCCAAAGCCCTTGCCCATTGCTACAGCCCACCCTGTGCCTTCTTGTGCAGCATGGATCCTGAGTTTCTTTGGGCAGTGAGCACTTATGGGAATTGCTGCCTCACATGAAAGCAAGGTCTTACCCAGTGAGTAGTTCATTGGGAACTGAAAGCTGCTAATCCTATGCCAGTGCAAGGACAGTTTGTGCCAAATCTTTGTTCTTAAATGCATGCACTAGAGCTAAAAGTCAGGTCTGTTTTCTGGCCCACAGAAATCCCTCACCTTACACTCAGGTAAATACGGAATGTGCCATATGTATATTTTCTTGTTAGGTTTATGCAGTCCATGAACAAAGAATTGTTTGAGCTTCTAAAGAGAGAAATAATTTTGGTTTTCTTTAAAACAGGGTACATTTTTAATTTAATGAGGCAAAATGATAAAACAAGGATATAGCTGAATCTGGTCAGTCACAGGAAAAGTTGCAGTTCTGTGACACTGTTGAAATGCTCAAAAATGTCATCTGAAGTATTTTGCATGTATTGATGTATTTGAAGCATTGCAGTGGTTTTAGCAGTATCCATTTACGGCAACAGTCTAATGTAGGGAAGGATTTTTTATATTGATCAGATTTAAGATACTGTAGTGATTAAGTCTCTGGTTTTAGGTTGTTTTCTTTTCCTTTTTTTGTTTTTACCACCTTCCAGTTTCCTTACAAGCATACACTTAACCACTTTTTCTCCATTCCCACCCTCTTATTTCTGTTTCCTTTTGAAGCTGCTCTTGGAGATAGCATAGTCTTTGAGGGCAACACCTTAGTTTCTCTACCACGACTACTCTGTGGCAGGTGCTTTTGGGGTATGGGTAAGCAGCCCCTTTTTTTTCCCACCTACCCTCCTCCATATAATCCTCTAGTAGCAATAATGCGGCTGTAAAATCAGTAGTTTCTCCATGTGTCTTCACTCTATGTCTCTTAAAGCTTAACAGTAACCTTGTGATCCCCAGATTGTGGGCTACTAAAAGATAGGATCTGTAAGAATTCAGAAACATGTGAAATCTGGAATGAAAGTACTAGAGAAATCTGGAGTAACTGCAGCGTAAGAAGAGAGCAGCCTGGCCCAGGAGACAGGTTGGGTTCCATGCTACCCACAAAGTACCTCTGCAGAACAGAGAAGATGCCCTAGAGCGTGTTGTGAGGAAGAAACTTAGAGACCTCACTGGGAGCAGGTTTCAAAATTGAGCAGGAGGTTGTGCTTATTTTATTTTGGCAGAGCTGATTTGCACAGCTTCTAATTTTAAAGTGATTAGATGCATGGGCTGGCTGGCTGGCTGATCCTTCATAAACAAGAATGAAATGGCAATTTTTTTATAAACAGAAATGATTGCAAACTGTACAAAAATAGTATTTTTAAAATCTGTATGCTGTTACATGGCTTCTAGAAATGTAGGTTGATAACCATAATCTTTATTTCTTCTTGGTATGGTAGACCATACTTTTGAATTTTTAACTGTCAGAAGAACAAAATTACTCATCTGCCTTGGGATTGAATTGCTGCTATTTCCATCTGCCTGTCCACATTCAGATTGTGTTTTGTGAAATTACTTAGAATTCTTGTTTTTGTTCTATAAGAATAGAATTAACTCTTGAAAATACATTAAAATTTTCTTGGTATTGTTACAGAGACCAATGGGTCAGATAACTCCATCCCAATGGCATATCTTACATTAGATCATCAGTTACAGGTAAAAAATAGACACTTTATTAGATTCTTAAGCTTGCATTTCATTCTAACGTGTGACTTTTGGGCTGCAAAATATAGTGCCACATATTTACCTGGGTTTATATTCTGTCTAATTTTTGACCAAGGCTAAAAAAAATATATTATGTAATCTGAGATTGGTTGACTCAGATTTGATCAAGCTATTAAAAACAAGCCCTGGGAAACATGATTCCTAAAACCAAATGTAAGCTGAGTTTGACTGTCAAAATAAGACATTATTTGCTTGAGTGTTACTGAATTAAATTGCTGTATACACTTTATTTGTTGTATATGGGATCAGACACTACTTTGATTTTTGTAACAGGTGTCAGATTAAAAACCGCAGATTTGAGGTTTGAGTCATCTTTGACATTGGTGCTGTAACGTTTTCCAGGGCATGGTTTAACACTTATTTTTAAAAGCTTACCAGTTTTTAAAAGATGTTATAAATACACTGCAGAGACATTCTAACACACTATTTACTAAGATATCAGTTCATTAGTCTTTAACATGTCTGATTTATTTTCAGCCTCTAGCACCGTGCCCAAACTCCAAAGAATCTATGGCTGTGTTTGAACAGCACTGCAAAATGGCACAAGAATATATGAAAGTTCAGACAGAAATTGCATTGCTGTTGCAGAGGAAGTAAGTAAAATGTGGTTTACTTTTTCTGTTCTTCTGTGTGGGTTTTTTTTTACACAAAGTCTGTTCTCTGTGACTGTTATATCTGGCTTTATGAAGTAACATTTCATAGAGCATAATTATTTTCCAGCCTTAATCTCAGAAATACTGAGCTGCTCAGTACAGGTGAGATAGAGCAGATAATTGAAAGTTTTGATCAATGTCAAGACACTTCTTCCGGACAAGTCCTAGATAAGTGTGTGGCACATCTGTATTTGTAACAAAACAGTAATGTTTGTTTGTATCATATCAAAGGAAAGATCTGGACTGCTAAAGAACCCTGGAATTTTATTTACAACGCTGTCCATTAACATGTTTTCAGTTGTAATTTGTAGATAATCAGTTAATGGATTGTAGAATTTTTAGTAATATGTCAGTGTTACTCATTTTGCAGTTAGTTTTTATCTTTATCTGACTGTTGTCAAGCATTGCATTTACAATAGTATCAACACACATCTTATGTTTTTCTGCCAGGGGTTTAGGACCTAATACTTTGACCTTTTTATGTACCTTCTCCTTGTGCACCAGAAATAAACTCTTTCCTCTTACATTATGTACATGTATAAGTGAAGCAACTGCATGTATTTTTGTATTAGGGTGAAAATTACTGCAGATTCAGAACTTGAGTTCACAATAAGTTCTGTTGTGCTCTACTTACCCTTTCTGTTTCATGACGCTGGAGAGCAGTTCTGAGAGGTCATCTATACTCCCACGCTAGACCAAGTTATCAGCTTGTTACCCATCAGTGTCTGAGCCACCGCAGGCAAGCAGTTGTTAACAAGGGGCTTGCCTTGGAGTTTATGGATTAGTTAATGAGAAAAATGTGTTCTGTAAACCGTTTGTACATTAGAAATAGCATACGGAATGGGGGGAAAATGTTATTGTAAGTTGGAACTCCTATCATGTATTCACCTTTGGCTTAGTATCCTGAGAACAATTTGATTTTTTCACATGCAACTAGAATTTTTAGACTCGATGAGGAGATACTGAAGCTAGAGTGAATATCTTAATTTTGATTTTGTGTTATTTCTAAGGGTCAATAACTTATATAAAAATGTGTTTCTGTTTCAAAACTCTTAATTCTCTGCTTTTAGATTCCTACTAGGGTTTTTTGTAGTAATTTTGTATTGACATTTCTTCCAAACTGTTTTTTCTTAGTCAGAATGTAGTTGTCCGTGGGTGTTAAAACAAAAAATAGTGTTGTGATGGATGAATTTAATGCTTGTTAAGGTAGTTATTAGTTCAGCCCTCAAAGAATTATTAAGTTTTCTTCAACTGTAATTACAAACCATATGGCAACAATTAATTAACATGAACTTTCTCCTTTACTATTTTGTTTGAAAAATATTGCTGGCAGCTTGCCTTCTTGTTGCCTTGTAAACAAGTAGTAAAACAAACTGCTACATCAGTTTTGCAGGATAAATTATAGCAAGTTTATCAGCGTGTTTGCTCTTCTAAAATTGCTGCTAAAAAACAGTGTACATTTATGGTGTAAATTATGTGAAATGCCAGTTACAAAAATATTTTCCTTGATTCTGCTTTTCCACTGCTTTCGTAAGTTCAAGTACAAATAGAAAATAGCACTTCACTAAAAAGTTATGAAAAATTACTGCAATTTTATATTTTAAGTTGTCTTTAGATATTTAAAATGTGCCTATATGCAAAATTAGAGTTGAATATATATATATATGAAATTTTATGTAGCTCCTTGGACGTTTTGCTGTGACCTTTAGAACTATGTCTGAAAGACATTATCTAAAGGACAATTTTAGAGATTGGAGCTATGTCTTGCAGCTAGTTTAAAGTTCAAATGTGGACTTGATTTGGAAGAGAATTTTTCCCCAGACTACATTAAAGAATAAGACTTTTTTTGCGCAAAATACCACCAGCTATGAATTCAGATTGATGATCAGTTACTGATTTGAAATATTTGAAATCGTCTACACACAAATAGAAATAGATTATAAATGACAATTACTTCTTTTTATTATTATTTTAGACAAGAACTAATAGCAGAACTGGACCAGGATGAAAAAGACCAGCAAAACACATCCCGTCTGGTACAAGAACATAAAAAGCTGTTAGATGAAAACAAAAGTCTCTCAACATACTATCAGCAATGCAAAAAACAATTAGAGGTAATCAGAAATCAGCAACAGAAACGACCAGGCACATCATGATTTCCTGGGACCTTTCAAATGAAAAATATGCACAGAAAAGACTGATTATTTTTTTTTAATTGTTATTATTATCCCTTATTATGACAGCTCATGAGTGTTAGCTTCTTGGTGTGATCTGTACTTGTCTGCTGCACTTAACATCATTTAATTTTCTTTTTCCTATGGTGGACATCCAGTTCAACAGGTTAATCGAATAAGGTGAGAAAACGATGACTTGAATTAACCAACAGCCCTCAATTTAAAGCAAGAAGAGTGGCTGCTTGCATGCTCCTTGTGTGAAGGCTAGCCTAACAAGTGTTAAGGAGGCTGCTAAATTTTAAGATCTTATTTTTAGTTTTTGGTGTTACCTCGATAAGAGCAAAAAAAACCCAAAACTTTCCTGTTTAAGAATGGTTTTGTTCCAGTGTCTCATCTCATACTATTATTATGATGATTGTTTTCAAGACTTAAACAGGCTCCAGGCTGCAGAGGTGATCTTGGCTGACCACAGTAATTCATGATGCATTAGTGATGCCTTTTACCTGTAGACATAGTGTATTTTTTCCACATGCAAAATGGTAGGCAAACTGATGCCAGCATCCTTGGTTCAGTGCTTGATAGCCCTGCATTTTGACTAATATGTTTCTTGTAATCTTGCTTTCATAAAATATTTGAAGTAAAAGACTGTATTTTGTTTACTTTCTTGGGGTGAATGACATGCAGTTTCGCTTAATTACCGGGCAAAAGTTATGAAGGTGATTCATTGGGCAGAGTTGGTCCCTTGTGTAAAGAGGAAGAATCAAAAATGTGTGAAAGCATGTTTTAAACCCTTAAAGCTTTTGTCCCTGTAGCATCTTTGGATGGAAATTCAGAAAGAGAATTATTACAAAACTTGAAATACTTGCTCCTTTTATGTTTTTGCTCCCTTATTGATTTTTTTGTTTGTTTTTCTTACAACTTATTCGCTGAAAAGCATTTACCATAAATGTAAATAAGTTTGTTTTAGATAGGGACAGAAAGGTTTGGGGAAATGAATTTATTTTAAATAGCAAATTATGAAATGGAGTTGAGTGTGCAAATAGCGGAAGCTATTAAGAACATGAGGGAAATGGCTTAGATCTCCATCAGGAATCTCAGTTATTCTACTCATTTGAACATAGTTCAGAGGAAGTCCATTACAGAATGCCTGCTGCCTTTGTGACTGAAGAGTTGCATTTAACGAACTCAAGCAGAATATGTAATGCTCAGTGTTGTTATTCACCATTATTACATGGGAGAAAATAACTGCTTGTTTTACATTGCAGATTAATTACTTGGATTATGAATTAACTGGTACAAAAATGAGGCACTTCTAAATATAATGATAAGTTACTCCTTGCATAAGTTCTTGAGGTACCCAGTTGTGGGCAGGGCTTTAATAACACTCCTTTGCAAAAGAAAAGTAGAAAATTGAAGTTTAGCTGTGGAGCCCTCCAAATAAAAGAAAGGTAATCTGAAATTTTACTTGCACTTATTTCAAATAAATGGTTATTTATAAGAGCCCATGAGCAGAACTTGAAAAAACCTTAAGGGTAAAAACTTCACAGTATTTTCTCTTTTCTTTCCTGCCTACTTCATAAAAACCATTAGTACTGTTGTGCTTATCTGTGAACAGCAAAGATGATGAACAATGTACTAAACAGTGTCATCCTGTCTTGAAAATAAATCTGTTGTTGGCAAACCTTTGGGAGTTAGAAACCCTTCCCTCATTTTATTTAAATAAAGGAAGGGTTATCATTTCCAAAACCTTAGCAGATAATTTGATTAGTTAGTTGAAACTGATATTGGGATCAACTTAAGGGCACACATATTTTTAGCAAAATGTAATTGGGAGAGAAAATAACTGTAGTATTAGGAATAGCACAAGTTATCCAGAGCATTGCTGTTCGCATACATCTGTCCATCTACCAAAATGGAGACACTCAGTGATCAGTAGCTTACTTAACATATGCTGAAGCATTAAGTAGAACAGCATAAATACTGATGCTCAGCTTCAGATGCGTGGTTGATAATTACCTACACAAAATCATTTACTAGGACAGTTATTACATTTCAGTGTCATAAAACCGATACGCTTAGGGTAAATCAGTTTTGTATGTGAAAAGTCACTTTATGGCAAGGTTTCAGTAATGGTACATAATACAAAAGTCTGTTCTAGCAGTTACTTATGACTTTTCAGGGTTTACATTATAAAGGGTCTCAGATTATAAAATAAGTGCTGTGCTACCGTGCACTGTTGGCTCCATTCAATAGTTAGGTTATATTGCTCTTGTAAGTTTTAGAGGGAATTTGGAGTTTGACCTTTTGCCTTCAAATTATCCCTTTCTTAATTCCACCAAAAAAGAAAAAAATATTTGCCCAAATTTCTCACCGAAGATTTCCATGTGGCAAAATTTGTGTATCATAACAAAAAAACTTATAAGGGTAGAACATAGTGGTTTGGGCTAAGAGTTTAACAGCTTAATTTTCAGTGACCTTTATTGTTTTCATAAGGCTCTTGTTTTAAAGTTGTTTACAAATGTACTTGTATTTTTCCCTTTAAAGTATCTGGACTTTTTTCATGTACTCTTCTGTCCAGTTAAAGCTGTTCCTCTAATAATAGAGGTGAAACATCTAGTTTTGGCTGGGCATTGCCTTCTCAGAAAAGGTAATAGGCTCTGCTTTTTGTTGCAGTATGTGTTCTGTAAGATATTTTGTAATGGAAAGTATGCTTCTGTACACTATGCAGTTCTTCCAAAATGCTTTTTTAGGCTTTTTGGTTTGTTATTTTTTCTGATGAGGAGTTGAAGATTGTAATTCAAAACTTGTACATAAAATGGTGAATGATTTCATATGATTCAGGAATGAGCAGTGTGGCTTTCTGCTACAGGGTTTTATTCCTTTATCAGGAATTAATTAGTAAAAGCTGAGAGCCTTCCACAAATACGTAGTGATGCCCCAACACTTGCTGGGGCATCCGTACTCTCTGATGGAATCCCACACTGGGTGGAAGATGATCATTGTGCAGTTGTTCCCACTACTGAAAAAAATTCTTCTGCTATGAGCTCGTCCCTTCCTGTGTGGAGAAGCAGGGTGTAGGATGAATAGTCCTACTCGTAAGTGAGTATCAAGATATTTTAAGAATGCCACATCTTCCTTATGGATGTTCTGCAAAGAGATACGGTCTCATCTTCCGTTCTTCTGTTCAGACAAATTTGATTCCCTGGAACTTCTTTATTTTGTTCATAATGGATTTTATGTGCCTCTCTCTGTGCCAGAGAGAGAAACAATCCCCTTAGCTGTTTCACTGCCTTTGAAGAACACAGAATTGTTCTTCAGATCTGTTCTGAGGTGTTTTGAACAACTCAACTGTTTAGGTGCGCTGCTTGTAACCTGCAGGGAAGGTTTGAAAGGGTAAGGGAAAAAAAAAAAAGGTGTGGCATACTCAAGCCCTCAGAATACAGATATCCCTGGTGAACTGGTTGAAGAGGAGGATCTTATGAAAGTAAAACCTGTGTACATGTATATGCACACGTCAACACAGTTATGTACTTGCACGGTCATACCTACCTGAAAGGAGGTTGTATCCAGGTGAAGGTTGTCTTCTTCTCCCAGGCAGGATGAAAGGACATAGTCATAAGCTACCCCGGGAGAGGTTTAGGTTGGACATGAGGAGGGATTTCTTCACAGAAGGGGTGATTAGCGATTGTAATGGGCTGCCCAGGGATGTGGTGGAATCACCATCCCTGGATGTGTTTGACGAAAGAGTGGCTGTGGCACTTGGTGCCTTGGTCTAGTTGATGTGGTAGTGCTTGGTCATAGGTTGGACTCGATCTCAGAGGTCTTTTCCAAACTAATTGATTCTGTGATTCTATGTAGGTGTAGAGAGATACACATATTGAATCAGAATTGATAGTTTTCTTTTTCTTTCCGAAATCAGACCTTTCTGTAGTTAACTTTCGTTTACTTTAATAATGTCACTAAGTGGGTTATGCTCTACACCTGTGAAGATCAAGTTCTTCTCTAGAGGCAGATAAATACAGTTGTGTGTATCTGAGAGTGCATCAGTTATTTTCTATGCCCCTATAGCGGTTTTCTGCTTCTTGCAGGGACAGTTCAGATCTTCCACTGAACTTGGAGAGATTTGCTACAAATGTTTTCACTTTGAACCTACATCATGACTCTGGTCAGAGAGAGGTACTTAATGAAAGAGCAAAACTGAATTTAGACCAAATAGTTTAAATTTTTAATTATTTATAAAATACTGTCTTAAAATACTACCACTACTAATCCTAGGGCTTTAACTTAAACAAGCGTTCATGAAAAAATGGGTTTTATTCATAATTGGGTGCTTTACACTAAGTAGCTAAAAATCTGAGATACCCCAAGGGATACGACGGGCTTGTGTTTGCATAATTACACATGATTTGTTGATACCTGCCTTCTAACTTGGATAAAGGCAGCCCACCTACTCCTACACATGGAAACTGTTGCCTTTTAAGGGTGGGTGAAGAGGAGCAGATCATAGAATCACTGAGGTTGGAAAAGATCTCCACAATCATGAGTCCAACCTTTGAATGAACATCACCCTGTCAACTAAACCATAGCACCAAGTGCCACGTCCAGTCATTTCTTGAATGCCTCCAGGCATAGGGATTCCACCACTGCCCTGGGCAGCCCGTTCCAATGCTTAACCACCCTCTGAGTGAAGAAATTCCGCCTGAGATCATTGCATTATAAGAAGTTTAAAGCATATTCAGCTTTGTGTGAAGCAAGGGGTAGCAGGTGGAAGCACCCCCACCTCCTCTGTGTGAGACCACAGCTCCTGGCCAAGGCTGGGGGAGAGGCAGGGGATAATGCAGCCCCGGCTGTGTCTCCCCAGCAGTGTGCAGACTGCATGTGCGAGTTTTGGCTTCTCTCGGACCTGTTTCTGTCCTTAAGCAGTGAGTGGTCCCTGTATCAACATGAATCAGAGGGTTATGATTAGTGACACCTGGTCTAGTTGGAGGCTGTCATTAGCCCTGTCTCCCAAGGGTTGATACTGTGTCCAGTTTTAACTTACACATCAGTGACTTGGATGAGCATTCACATGCCAACTGGTGGAAATGTAAGGGTCTTCCCTTTTCCTGACCATGCTTTTCCATCACACTAGTATTGAACAGGAGAGGCTATGAGACAACTGCATATAGGCTGCTCTCCTCTAATATTTAGGCAAAGGACTAAGGAGTGACTTGCATTCCTATAACCTGTGGGCTCAACATATGGGATGGGACAAAATCTTAGTTTATAGCAGAAAATTAGAAAAAAAAAATCCTAGTTATAGGCAGATTGAAGATCATATGATCTTATATGATCTCTGCCTGGAGGGTGGTGAGACACTGGAGCAGATTGCCCAGAAGAGTTGTGCATGCCCCATCTCTAGGAGTGTTCAAGACCAAGTTGGATGGAGCTCTGAGTAACCTGCTCTTAGAACTAGATGATCTTTAAGGTCCCTTCCGACCTGAACCATTCTCTGTTGAGGTGGATATGCCTGAGAACTCTATTTAGGTCTGTTTCTCTCCTTTGTCATGAAGAGTAGCAATGTGGACTTCACATGTTGGGGCATCTTTGACTGATCTGCAAAGCCACCATCACTGTCCTCATAGCTCCTGCAGTGTGAAAAGGGGGGTGGCCAAAAATGTGCTTAAGAAAAGGAGAGCCTTTTATGCGGCTTTGCTGGTGTCTGTACAGTAGGTGTTTAAGACTTCTGAGACTCCTTTCCAAAAGCAGGCAAAGTTACGATGATTAGGCTGTAAGGGGGAATAAATCATCCTATCATCCGGGAATATCCATATTAGTGGAACCAGTGCTGTGGAAGTATTCCTGTGAGCATCTTTGTTCTCCAAGGTCCCAGAGGAGCCTGCCTGTGCCTGTCACTGGAGGACTCCTCAAGCAGATGTCTCCAAAAAGTTAAACCTGGTATGTGCAAATCAGATTCTTATTAAAGTTTCTTACATCATCGTTGTCATCATCATTAGCAATGTGGGTAGGGCATAGCCAGGAATTGTTCATGAGGTAGGAGGTGAAGCTAATTTAGCTTGTCCTCTGAGGGCTGCCTGGGGTCCACGGGGCTGCCAAGCCCAAACTGCTTCTGTCAGTAAAGGGCTCAGATACGACCTCAGAGGCGGTGCAAGGAGCCATTTTGGTCAGTGCAGCTGTGCTTTGACTCAGAGCACGCTGCTGTGGCTGAGTGTGAGCTGGGCTGATGGTGAGAGCCGGGCTGCTGCTTTCCATTAAGGACCTTTAATGGCCACTCTGGGTGTCCTTGAGTGCTGGCAGACACCAAAGCTGCAGTGAAGTGTGAGATTTAGGGTGATAATTTTATGCTCATCAAAAACCCTAGGTCCCAAGAGATTGCTGGGGAGGGATTTATTTGTTTTGGGGAAGAAAGAAAGCAAACAAAACAAAACGTGCATGAGGGTCATGTAGTGCACTGTATCCCACATCTCTGGATCCGGGGAACACACCAGTAGATGTGGGACATCATACCAAAGGAACCATGTGGTGAAAAAAGTGGCGTGGTGAAGGCTTTCTTACTTGCTTCCTTGAGTGCTCTGGGTTCTCAGACCTGAAAGGAAAAAGAGGAAAAAGCCTTACAAACACAACTGGGGAGCTGAATGTGGCCAGTTTATTGATAATTTTGCATATTATGCCGTGCCTCCCCAAAAAAGTCCTG